AGTGTCTGAGCTATTTTGGGTGACTGTCATAGGATGGCTGAAGAGAACTCTGAATTTCTTAAAAAAATAAAAATAAAAACCACCCTTAAACATTAAAGAAAATGAAAGATTATTCAAGTGATGGAGACATTTTTTCTTAAATCTTATTTTAAGATACAAAACCCCATATAAACCCATAATCATATTTATAAAATCATATTAACCCATGATTCCTTCATGTAGTCCAAGTGCTCCGTACCTGCCTGTCTGCCTGGATGAATTCATAGTAATCCATACTTGAATTTGGCATTATGTGCTTAAAAGAAAAGTGAGAGAGCTGTTTCTCATGCTTGTTTTTCATGTTATTAACTTCATTTCCAAAACAGTGGTTTCCAAACTCTAGATCAACTTTGCTCTGACTCAGGCTTTGCGTAGCTCTACTCATAGTAGTTGAAATGCACAGTGGTGCTAGGGGAGTGTACTGAGGATGAGCAGTTGTGCCCAGGTTATCATTTGTAAAGTTGAGATTTGTTCAGGCATTTGCTCAAAACCCAGAAGCAGCCTCATTTCTCAGTTAAAGAACAAAGTCATTACAAGCTTTAAGCCCAAAAGAAGACAGGAAAAGCAAATAAGGGAATTTAAACCTTATTAATGATGATACCATTGATGCTGTTACCATTGTCACTACAGTTCATCTGCCTTTGTAGGCTGAGTCCCCTTGAATGGCTTTTATGGTCTAAGATCAAGTCAATTCCTAGGCTATTAAATGGCATCAAAACCTGGTGAGATTTGATACGTGGAGTAATTCACTATGCGGAGCAGCTGTATTGCAATGTTGCAGGCTGCTCTGCGACCTGGAATTGTGTTAAACTTTAACCAGGATCGATTTTCCTATTTCTACTTTGTTTGTAAGGGCTGAAGTAAGTTACAGTGTCTGAATTAATGCATTTTGGAAGGGTTCCTTAATTCATGCGGTTCACAGATTTCTCCATCTGAAGAAAGTCCCCAAGCAGCAGCCACTTGCTGGTTTTGTTCTTTGGAGCAGGGTGCCTGGAATGGTTTCAGTGATAGCTGGGCCATATTCTTTAACTGCAGTGACATCAGGATTGTGCCACTTTTGGCTTTTTCTCTGTTGTTTTTTGTTTGATTGTTTGTGGGGTTTTTTTTAGCTTATTATTTAAACTCTGACGTAAGTAAGATATTTGCTCAAAACTTTAGTTTTACCAAGTTTTTTACTTTTCACAAACCTCTCATCCATATCTGTGGTCCCAGGCATTGCTATTTTATACATTTACTATGCAAGTGGCTTTTATTCAGCTCTCCTTGTTAGTGGTTTCTCGGGTTTTTTGCTTGGTTGGTTGGTTGGGGTTTTCTTTTGTTTTCTATAGCATCCCTCTGAAAAGCAGTTAATGAAAATGGATTATTGGAAAAAAACAGTTTGGATTTTTTCCCCTCCTCTTAAACAACATTTAATAGGAAGCCTTTGGATTGAATCTCTGGATAATGCTTCCTCTTTGGCAGTTCCGCTGATCATCAGTGACAGATACTTCTTTCAAAAAGATTGTTTTGCACAGACAAGACTTGGCACAGAGGTCACCTCTGAGGAGAAGTGGAACAATAGGAAGTCAGCAGTTTATCTTTAAAAATAGCTTTCTCTCCTCCCCCCTACCCCCATCTGCATTACAACTGGAGGAATGAGCAGTGTGCGTCTCCTGATGGAGAGAGGTCTCTGCCCCTTAGCCTGCTGGGGTTCTCGTCCCTTCCCTATGCAGAAGGGACTAGGCAATAACAGCTTGACTGGGGGAAGGATCAGGGAGATGGGAAGCCTTTCCCAAGACGTATTGTACAGTGGTGGAGGCCACCAATCCCCCCACAAGCCCAATATCCTCTCCATCAGTACAAACTGCTCCCTAAATAAGAAGGAATACGCCAGGAAAGGTAAGCATCGAGGCAAGGTCAGTGCTTGCCTGGCCCAAGCCCTCCTAATTAGGGAAATGAATAATGACGCGACGTATCAGTACCTGTTTACTCCTTCTTTAGTCATTGACAGACATGCTGCTGTGACCACAGTTGCAGAGCACAGCATCCTGCACACCACAGCCTACATGCAGGCTCTGAAGTGGGAGCTGTTTCCATTCATAGCTGTTTTGCACACCATGTCTGAATTACTCCTGTTGCACAGCCAGCTGCTTCATCAGATACCTGCAGCCTCTGGTTTGGGGCAGGATGAGTGACCTGGCGAATGAATGAATTATTGCAGAATAAGGAAATGGGTTGAGGTTGTGGCATGTTGTAATTTGGTACAAATATAATGAGTGATGTACCTATGAGTGGAAGGGAGCTTCTGGTCGAAAGCAATTTAGTTCCGTGTTTGCAGGATGTTATAATGGGCATGTTGAGTGTTTACCAGCCCTCCTTGCATCGGTGAGTTTGAAGGACAGTTCTTCAGGCAAGACACATGAGCATCGTACATCCAAGTGTGGTCAGGGAAGGCTGTGAACCTGTTACTGGGCTCTGGTTTATTTTGAGTTGTAATTCCAGAATGAATTTACTTGGTTTGCTTGAACATCATAAAGTCATGACTGCTTGGATGAGCCCTGGTTTAGGAAGGGAGAGTGCACTTCAGGGCTTCTTTTTCCTTCCGTGTTCCCTCCGTGCATGTGAAGATGTAAAACGTTTAATATGATACCTACCATGCCTCCTCTGCTGATGAAGATTTTTTCTGCCCCCTTATATCCCAGCTGAAACCAGGACACCCCAGTAATCATTTTATTTGCATTGGGAATGTGCCTTGGAGGTGTGAACAAACTACTCCTTGGTTCACAACTGAAGTACCTGTTTGGGTAGGAATTGTAGCTTGCTGGGCCACATGAAGCACCAGAAAGGGTTGTCTTGTCCACATGAAAAGCCAGGCAGCCTTGAAGGCGACCTGAGAAGTTGGCCAAGGCAACCGAATGAGGTGAGCAGTGAATGTGGAGAGCTTTCTCTGCAGGGATCTTGAATGCCCAGGGAGTGATGAAACATCTCAGGCCAGTCTTAGGCACATGGAGAGGTAGAGCCACCTCTCCTGGTTGGTGGCTTGGAGGTTTTGCAGACTTCTGTCTGCAGTGGGAGTAGATGGGAGGATGGGCAGTATATGGACCCAAGCGCTCTCTATGCTTTACTATGTCAGAAGGAATTGCAGGTTTAAAACTACAATTTGGCTAAATGAACAGGGCAACAGAGGATTGGTCCAGGAGAGGAAGAATGAGAATAAATGTGGTCATCCTTTTACTTACCATTTGCAAGGGGAAAACCATTTAAATTCCACTCTCTTCATGTCCTGGAATACAAGAAGCACCTGACGCAGCATAAAAAGCATTTAAATTTGATGAAGACCTTTATTTTCAACCTTGTACTAATGGTAGAGGTCACAATCTTTAATTACCACTGATAACAACAGGGATATTTTTAATGTGAGAATAGCTTAGGTGCAGTAAGTAAGAATTAGTGTGTGTAATTTGGTTTGGTACAAGGCAGCATGGGGGAGCCTTACAGCTGCTGTGGAAGTACTTGCTAATCAAAGACCAAACTGGCTCCATGAAAATGTTGGCTTTGTTCTGTAAACTAAGATCCTGTGGTAGTTTGGAACTTTCTTTGAAAGAAAACTGATGTTGGTAGGAATAGTTATTCCTGAGGTCTCAATTTTTTTGAAGTTAATTATTATGTTAGTGAGGGAATTAGTTGTTTTTCAGATTTATTCTTGCCCTGTCATTTAGTCATATCCCCATTTGTGTAAAGGAAGTTTCACGATGCTGTGAGTAGTATAAATATGTATTAAGGTGGAGATTTTTAATATTTTTTTTAAAAGAAGGATGGCCAAATTAGATGATTAACTAAGTAATACTAAATTTCTTGTAAACAGAGATTTTAAATATATATTTATAGCATTTGTGATTAAATAATGTCCCCAGCGCTTAAAATTTACCTCACACATCTAAACCTATACCAAGTATCATCAGTCCTGGGCTGTTTTATGATCCTTACAGCTCAAGCTGCAACAAAGGAGCTTTTGTTACATGGTCAGGTATTCATTTGTCCTATATTGTAAAAGCAGTGGTATTGCACAAATGACACAAATGATAATGTAAGGATATAATAAAGGTTTGTATGCTACCAGCTTCCAGAACTGCAAAAAACTGCATAAACATGTGGGCATGCAAACTTAAAGAAGTGCTTTTTCTTTGCAAACTCATTTGTTTTTCCATTTTATGTATCATTGTAATAAAGTATTCTGGCTCTCTCCCAAATCTTGTTTCTCTTGAATTTTTTTTCCCATTAACTTGTACAACGTTCTATGCATAAACATACTTGGGTTTTATCATTAAGTGTATGTATAAATGCATTAAATTGTGTGATTTAATAAACACTAGGTTTGAAATTGGGCATTTTACCAATGTGGGACACAGTCGACTTATGATTGTGTCTAAAAGCAGTTCTTTGGGCATAGTGCCTTTTTTTCCTTCTGTTCCTTATCTGTCCTTCAAAATAATCAGTATGTTTTTAAACTGAGGGGAAGGGAAAGGTCTGAAACATTTGCTTTGGCAGTTGCTTCTATGATGTGATTGTGGTTGGTTCGTTGGTTTGATTTCCTCAGTAACCCAAAAAACAAACCAAAAGTAATTTCTCCTTCATCATCTAATTAAATGCAAACAGTACATGTACTTTTTGTAGACATTCTTTAAGTTCATGCCATAAATTGCCATCCTCATCCTAAACCTGCCAGTCTGTGCGCTAGTAGAAACGGGATATTTAATTTGCTAAAGCATTTAACATCATGTGCTGGATTTGGGTGAAGTTCAGATAAGATACTGTGTCAACTTTAACCGGCTGGCCTGTAGACCATTACGTTCTGTTTATTAATTAAATGATGATGTTTTAATATACTAAATATTAGAGAAAGAGAAAACATTGTAATGTGGGTATATTGAAATAATACCAAATTAAAAATACTAACATTTCTTTACATATTTTACAAATCCATGCCAGATTTCCCTATGGATTCCAATAATGGCAACTGTAGAGGTGCCGGCATTGGTAAGTACACTTTAATAAGCTATAGTCTTTCAATCCTTCTAATACTTGATCAAATAAGAGGGGTACTGGGTGTTGTTTAAATGCTCTGTCTTGTCTGGGAATCCTGTAGATTGTGCTTTTGTATCCCATGGGCAGGGGAGATTTGGGGCTGGTCAGCCTGTGGACCTCTCAGTATACAACTCAGTTAACTCTTTAGCCCACCATTTAGTGCTCATCTCTTCTGCTTTTGCCAAGGCAAAATCTCCATCAAATCAAGAGAGCTGTGCTGTTTTCATGAGACATTTTGTATTGAACAGTGAGAATAATCATTAAATGGATTTTCACAAGGCAAAACCAGAGAAGATAATGGCTACTTTTTACTTTAAAACTTATGGCTTAAATCCAACACTCTTCGTAGCTAATGGCAAAATTCCCATTAACGAGAAGAGGTTGAGACCTTCTGAGAGTGGTTTTATTCCAGTAGGTCCCCTCTTACTTTTTGTTTGCTGGAACTGAGTCAAACCTCTTGAGTGTTACCACTAGGCATAGGCAATGCAAAGTAGCTAGCAGGTTATAGAAATGGGAATTTATTGCTCAAGCAAGCCAATGACTATAGGTTTCCTTGAATTTTATTACAATTCCTTCACAAGTTTTCCTCTTAGGCCCTTGTCAAGAAGCTAACACTTGGAAACCTAGTGTTGGCCATCGTGTCTTTCCTTCTCCAGAGGTGTTGATGAGCAGTAGTGCACACTGATGCTCAGTTTATTAATATAAACACCTAAGGATGGTTGTGGAACATAAAACAAGATACCTACATAAAATTGGATAATGTCAGCATTGATGTCTGTAACCAAATTGTAAAGAGGTATTAATAATGCCCATCTTATAATACAGTTTTAAAATGTGATCAGTAGTTCCCAATGTGAAAGTAGCTGCTATGTAGGTGCAAAAAGTTACTTAATCACAGTGTGCATCCTTTAGAAAGCCAGCTACAGTTAGAAAAACCCAATAAAGTAAGCCCCTTAACAAGTTTCATGTCAAATTGCCTTGTGCATGGGACCATGTCTGAAAGACTTTCTGAAGATTTTTACTACTAATCTTAGTATTTTAGTTTTAAGCCATTTTCAAGTGTGGCTTTCATGCTCTGTACAAAGGGCATACTAAGTCCACTTTGAGTATGAAAATAAAGTGGATACTTACAACATCACCTTATAACAAAAATACTACAGATACCTTTATCAGATGTAGGGATGTAGATGACATGTCCTTAGGGATGTAGACGGCATGTAATACCAGTAAGTGATGCTGCAGTGGAAGAGAGAAGTGTAAGACTCAGTTGTACTGTTGCTGTTGTGATGCTCTTTGACTAGTAAAAGCAAAACCAGACCTAAAAATCGCCATCCAAAAAATAGGGTGAAGGTGAGCAGAAAAATTGCTGATGAAAAGGAAGGGTGCCTTTTATCACTGCCTGTCATGGTACAAAGACCATTTCTGCTGCAGTGAGCAGCACTCAGGGGTTACCTCTGTTAAAGGCACCTTTTGTAACTGGCAAAACTTTCCCTCTGAGTCTGCATGGGGTTGTTTTGGAGGGGAGCTTTTGTACCTCTCTTCGTGGTGAACTACATTGTTTGCTTCGTCAGATTCTTTTTGAGTCACTTAGAAATTTTTCCAGATTTTGGGTGGTTTTTATCCTTAATTTGTCAGGGAAGCATTTGCCAGGTTTGAGTGCTTGTGCTGGTCAGTATTACAGACAGGTTTCAGGTTGTGCATGCACATATATTTAAGATGGCACATTTTGTGGTACCCTCTTCCTGTGTAGTCCATTTGTTTTGGCATTTACAAGAAGTTTTAAAAGGTAGAAATTCTGAGCTTTTGTTAGTCCTATATTGACTTGTATTAAAGAAGTCTATTTAATGGAAAAGTTAGCTGAGATCTTAGTCAAACCTGGTGTGAGCCTCTGCTGCTTGGGATATGATGTTGTGTTTGTGGGGGTCTCCTGGTAGTTCTGGCAGCTTCAGGGAAGGCTATCATGCAAGATGGGACTTCCCCTCAGCATCAAGAGATACAGTACATTTTATAGCCACCTTCTGTAGGTGTTCCCACTCCATGAGGAAACTTCAACTTTGCCAGAAACAGGCATCCATCAAGTATGTGTTCTGTAATACTCACATTGTGCTTCCTTTGAATGTCACTGAAACAGGAATTGGGAGAGAAGAGTTGGTTCTACCTCTGCAACTGACATTATAACTGACCTTGGCAAGTGACTCCATGTTAGTTTCTGTATCTCTAGACAGTAATTAGGAATAATGCAGTGTTTTGTAAAGTTCTTTGAAATTCAAATTTGAAAAGCATTGGGGCAACTAGGAGTTATCCTTCCTTAAAAACACAGGCAAGTCTATAATTTGTTTCTATAACAAGACTAAAAAAATTAATAAAATAATCCAAAGCCATCTTAAAATTAAGGGAAATTTGAGGCTGTGTATTATTGTCTTGGAATTCAGACTGTTTTATTCTACTTGTGCCACAGAGCAAAGTACTGTAGTGCAGCAGAACATTAAAGCGTATGACTTGTTGGACTTGAATGCTGAGATGCCTGTGCAAGTGTAGGTCATAGGAGCACATCTCTTACGGTCTGTTTTGAGGTGGCTTATAAAACAGGGCATAATTTGGCTTAAAATATGCATGAGCTCCCACAGGCAGAAGGGAAGCCTAAAATCACTTCCCTTCCCTGCCTTTACTGTTGTAATACAGACTCATACAAAAGCTGAAGTCTGTAGGAGTCTATACGTAGATTCCTGAGGATGTGTTTGAGATTCAAGGAAACAATATACTCTTCTTTTGAAATGTTCTCCTCTTTTCCTGTTTTGTTTTCTTTTTGTATTTTCAACTACAAAAATTGTTTCAATAGAAAATAAATAATGATTTGAGAAGTCAATAACTAAGATTCATTTATTTATTTTTAATATGCAGAAATCATATAGCAAAAAAAAAAAGTTCTTTTTCAGACTCTTCATGTTAGATTCAATTAAATCACTAGCTTATACACATTGGTATTTTAGCATGGCGTTGTATAGAAATAGGCTTCATTAATCTACTTCCACTTAAATGTTAAGTCAAATGTCAAAATAGATGATCATGTAATACTGGGACCTGCTGTTTGAATTGACTCCACCAAACTCCACTTAGACACTAGGTTGAAATAAGTAAATATTTGCTTTAGAACAACAGTCATGCAGGATTGGTGGTGTTAATGAACACATGGGTCTGGAGTTTCAGCATGAATACTCCCTGGGCACTAATGAAAATGTTTTTACCTCCATTATTGTTCCCAGCTGTCTGGAAGCTGCACCACTGGAAATACTGCTCTGACAGTGCTCATTTGTATTGTCTTTTGAAGGCCATCCTTACCACCATAGGGATGGCCTAATATGCTTCTATTTTAATTTAACCTGAGGTTCTGGGTCATAATAAAATTGTGTAAAATTTACACAAGAATTGAGGGGGAGTCCAGAGCGGTGTCAGAGGTGACACCAAACACCTGAAGTAGTCAAGTGAAGCCGTTCAACCTCTTCAACTCAGTCTCTCTTGAACCTTCTGCCAGACACTGCTGAAGGGACATGGTTGGGGTTCCCTTTAGTTGAGACCATCCCAGAATCATTCGGAGCAGGGAGCCACTTGATCCCACTATGCTCCAACATACTTCATCTGTTGACTGTAGCTCTTCGATATTTTCAGGAGTAAAGGGGCTGTGCCAGTGTAAGTAATCTTATGGTACAACTCTGAAGATGAACTATATGTTGAGAATTAGCCACAAAAATCCTATTCCTTATAGTGTAGGCCTGCTGGCCACAATATCCCAGTGTGCTAAACTGAGCTGAGCTATGCAGTCCAATCAAATGTTGAATCATGCCCTGTCATAGTATTTTCTTTCTGTGTCTGTATTACAGCCTGTATAATTAAAGGTGCAGAAAGGAGGGCATTCAGTAAGTGCAGTACAGAAGAGAGAACGACATAGAGCTGCAGCTCCTGCAAGCACAGGAGAGACCAAGATTGAACCTCGAATTGCCCTAAAATGGAAGACTTTGTCCCTTCACACTCCCAAGTCTTTTTGTCTTTGTCGTTGCAGGGTTAGTTGGTTGAAGTAGTTTGGTTTGTTTTTTCAAATTTCAGTGTGTCAAGTTTTCTCCTGGAAACCTTTGAGGTCCATGAGATGTCAACATCTTCCAACTATGAGTTCCGTATCTTCCAACAGAACAGCCCAGGAACGCCCCATGATTTTTAATGTTCCACTTGCCTATAATAAACAAGTTGTTTTGTTAGGGGTGAGCTTGGGGAAGATTGTCAGTGAATGTGTGCTCTTTTTGTTCTGAACAAGACTGTCTGGTTTTACAGAGCGCTGCAAATGCAAGCCCATAAAAGCGACCCAGAAGACCTACCTACGCAACAACTATAACTATGGTAAGAACAGCTGCATGGCTGGCTCCCAACATTTTTAAGGCTACAGTAAGGGGAAGATTTTAATTAAAAAAGCCTGTGGTCCCAATTACTGATGGCGAATCCAGTGGCACTTATTACAGAAGGAAGATATGGCCTGAAACATGTCCAAATAAGAAGGTTGGAGGGGATTAGCTTGATGTTAGTGACAGAGTGTCTTTGTTGATGTTGAGTGCTATTTCAGTGTCAGCACAGGCAGCTGAGATTCGTGCACTTCTTTAGTGTGAAAAGGGATGTGACAAAAATGACATTGTGGGCTGCTGTGTCTGAATTGCCTCTTTGATTTCCATCTCCCATATGCTCTGCTTCTGCAGGAAAGGATGTTTTTACTAACTTTCATGCCTGCGAACTCACCATGGGATCCAACAGGCATAAAAGGTTCTTTCCTTCTCATGTATCAGAGCCAGCAGTGAGCATCTGTTACATACAGTACAGTATGTAACTTTTACAGTAACATCTGTAAAAGTGCATGATGTCCATATTATGGCTTTTCTTGTCCAGATTGTCCTGGTCTTCAGGCATAGGAAAGGTCCAGGCTGCTACTTTTCTTCATACTGTTGGTTTTAAGCCAATTAAGTCAATGAAGCCAGTGAATACATGTCACAGGAACTGAACAATTGGGCCCATCCTTTTTCCCATTAATCATGTGAATAGCCTTGGGCTCAGTGAACTTAAAGACTTCATTTAAATTGTAGAGATTATGTAGTATTTATTGAGATTATGCATTTATGCAACTATGGTCAGATAAACTTTTAAAAATAGATCCTATTAAAAGCTAAAAATATTGTGATTTTATTCAGTTAGACATCATTGTTATTTTTAGGTGGCTAGTTGGTTTTATGTTGTTTTATTACAGAGTGACTAGTACGAGCACATAGAATCATAGAATAGTTAGGTTTGGAAAGGACCTTAAGATCATCTAGTTCCAACCCCCCTGCCATGAGCAGGGACACCACACACTAAACTATGTTGCCCAAGGCTCTGTCCAGCCTGGCCTTAAACTCCTCCAGGGTTGGAGTGGCTGATCATGCTACTGCCCATCTTCCCAAGCTCTCGAAATTAAAAAGGTTTCAAAATACATTTGAAATAACTCCAAACCAAAGCAAGATTTTGTTTTGAAATCTTAAAAGGCTTTAAGGAAGTGGATCACTTGGGATAAATTGTATATATTAAATGCACAAGTTATTAATTGTTGACAACTGTATTTAATGTAGTTGCAATACATGGTGGTTGATGGTCTTTATGGGCAATGCATGTGAAGAGAGAAGATGTGTGAATCCATGGTTTTCTCCCGTAATACCTTTTTCACATAGGTTAGAAGAAATTTGGCATCCAGGGAATCTGCTGTTTGTAATGGAAAGAGACTCTTGTTTGCAAGCTATGAATATGTGGCATTCTCTAGACATGACCTCTGGATTGACTTTGCATTTGCATATGGTCTCAGTCCACTTGGTCACCATGAGAGAAATGAAAAGCGTTGCCTATGAAAGGCAACTTTCCTCCTGTGCAACTTAAGGCAAAAAGAAAGGGTGAGGGAGGAAACAATTAGACAGGTCATTGGGTCAAGATCAGGAGCATTTGGAGTTCATACAGAGCAGAGCAGATTGGTGCTGGGTCACTGGAGAGAGAAAAAAAAGGTAAGGGCTTGTCATGCAGCGGTAGCGATAGGAGAAGTTTTAATGCACATTCGTGTTTCATGAAAGGTTGAGAGTGACAAATTGAGTTTGGTCTCTTGTACTGCAAGCAGTCAGAAAGGAGCAGTTACAGCCTGAGGGAGAAGGAGAGCATATAAGGAATGAATGAAATATATTTAAAGGGGAAAGGGCAAAAAAGAAGGGATGCTAAAGTTAAAGCCCAACTTAAACAGGACATAAATTCAACTGGTACATAACTCCTGCTCATGGCCATACTGTTATGAGATATACTAAGCTACCTGAACTCTATTAGTAGCAGATGAAGTGATGGGGGCAGGGGCATTGCTAGAGTTCAGCTGAGCTTTTGATAATCGACCATGCAAAAGACTAATCATAAAGGTCACCAAGAATGGCTTGGGGGTGACCTGCATTATCTGCTGCTGCTAACTACGGTCTTTGTGACTTTCTCCCAGTCATTCGGGCTAAAGTGAAGGAGGTGAAGACTAAATGTCACGATGTCACTGCAGTAGTGGAAGTAAAGGAGATCCTAAAATCCTCCCTGGTGAACATCCCAAAGGACACTGTAAACCTTCACACGAACTCTGGCTGCCTGTGCCCACCACTCAATGCCAATGAAGAGTACATCATTATGGGCTATGAAGATGAGGAGCGCTCCAGGTAACTTTCTGCATTGTCCTTGGAGCATATTTGTTGTTGTTTGTTTCCTTGCTTATAAAGCTGAACTTCAGAGCCACCAGGAAAGGAAAACTTGGTGAGACTCTGTACATCTCCTTAATGGTATTCAGGGCGGCATAGGGGTCTCTGCAGGGACAGAGATCTCTTGCATGTATTGAGTTGTATAGCTTGTGCATGCCTGTTGATGGAGCAATTGGTTGTCTCTGTTGTGTAGGTTACTCTTGGTGGAAGGCTCCATAGCTGAGAAATGGAAGGATCGTCTTGGTAAAAAAGTAAAGGTAAGAAAACACCTCGCCAAAAGTCAAATACCATGAACCATCTACCTCATCTTTTCAAAACGAAGGAACAAAATACACATGCTGACCCCAGTTAATTAATATCAAGAATCAAAAGTTAACTTGGTGTGTCATTTGCTTTATTACATAGAGATGCATGCTGAATAAAATGAAGGGATACATTAAATTATCCAAATACACCAGTGCAGCAGCATCAAAACCTCTGTCTCAAAAAAACCAGGATTTTCTCTGTGTGCACATTCGTCACATCCAGAGATGACATGAGTGAAAAGATACGGAGATCTTATTCCAAATTGTTGTTTGATTTGACAGAACCTTACAAAATCCAGTGCTGCAGAGCAAATACCACGTTACCACCGTGGGCTGAGTTCTGTTTAGTTTCAGTTCTCAGGTGGCAGTGTCATTTTCTGGAACTCACTTATTTTCTCACTTACAGAATCACAGGTTTGGGTTGGAAGGGACCATCCAGTTCCAACCCCCTGCCATGGTTAGGGACACCTCACACTAGAGCAGGTTGCTCCAAGCCCCTGTGTCCAACCTGGCCTTAAACACTGCCAGGGATGGGGCAGCCACAGCTTCTCTGGGCATCCTGTGCCAGCGCCTCAGCACCCTCACAGGGAAGAATTTCTTTCCTTATATCTAACCTAAATCTCCTGTTTAAATTTAAACCCATCACCCCTTGTCTAGTCACTACAGTCCTTGATGAAAAGTCCCTCTCTGGCCTCCTTGTAGGCCCCCTCCAGACACTGGAAGCTGCTCTGAGGTCTCCACGCAGCCTTATCTTCTCCAGGCTGAACAGCCCCAACTTTATCAGCCTGTCTTCATACGGGAGGTGCTCCAGATTCTGAGGATCCTGGTGGCCTCCTCTGGACTTGCTCCAACAGCTCCATGTCCTTCTTATGTTGGGGATACCAGAACCCTTCATTCACAGAGGCTACAAGAAAGCCAGGAGATGGTTTCTCTATTTAAAGTGACTTTTACCAGTAACTTCACATTTCACTATTTGAGCCCAGTGCAGGCTAACACAGTGGAAACAGCGAAGGCTTGTATTTTGTTGCTGCTGTTTGTAAAGACATGCAGTTGATTTACATATAACTTCATTTTTCTTTTGCAATCTCTTTAATAACTTCTTTGCCTTTCAATATGCAGCGCTGGGATCAGAAACTCCGCCACCTCGGGAAGGGAAAGGGAGAGCCTGGACACAGCGACTCGGCTCCAAAGCCCGGCAAACCCAGCAGTGCCCGACAAGCACGTAGTTAGATGTGGGATGTTGTACCTTGACATGCAGTGGACTATCTACCAAGACTTCGTTGTTGGAGCAGCAAAGGAGAAATTGCACTATTGCACGTTATATTCTATTGTTTACTACGAAATAATGTTTTAGCTTATATTAGTTTTTATTCTGTCTCTTGTTTTCTGCATTTGATTTTTTTTTTTTTTGATTTGTGCAAGCTCTGGAAATATATATTTTTTTTCTCTGTTACTAAGAACTGTAGAAAACTGCCCTTATGAGATGGGAAAGACAAGGACATGTTCAGTTTACCATTTTATCTCTGAATCTTCTAAAGCAGAAAATTCAGATGTAAGCAGGAAAAAAAAAACGCTTAAAGTCATGGCTTGCACTGGCTTCCCCTTTCACTCATTCTCAGTCACTGTTTGCTGAAACATCATGTTGGGGGGACGTTGTTATCTGTTTTTTTGTGCATATATACAAAGAAATTATGTTAAGAGAACTGTTTTAATCAGTGCAACTTTTAAGTTTTCATATAAAGGAACCACTTGTGTAAGCCAGAGTCTACCGTAAGATATTTCCTGAGGCAAATGCAGTGTGCTTGTACACAGGGGACTTGAGTTTTCCAGGGCTGTGGACCTTGCAGGAGAGGTTGTATAGTTCTACTACCACAGGATATAATTTATAATATACTACTTCTCTTATAATGGCAGTTTTTTCCCCCTTTTCTTTTCTCTGCTGAGTTGAAGGAGTAGACTGACTTTACCAGGCCTGCGTCTCAGTACAGGTCTGCACTTTATCCTTTTGATTTTGTGGTTTATTCTTAAATCTGTGCCTACATAAACAAATGTTCAATGCTCAGTAAAATATGTCCAATAAAAGAATTGTAGTTACCAACACAGACCTTATCTGACTTTTGAACCAACATCATATTTTTATATTGCTGTTGAAAATACAAAAAAGCAGAAAAAAAACCTTAATTTTTGTGCTTTTGTAGAATTTTTTGCAGATAGAGTCAACATATTGGAAATAATCTTCTGTTCTGAATCATTTAAACAACAACAACAAAGCTATTGGCATTTGAAAACATCATTGTGGTGTATTTTGGACTTTGTGGCTTGGTGCTTCTGTTTTCAGCTGCTCTCTTTCCTGGTTCCTTTGTTTTACAGCCACGCTACCAGCAGGCAGGCCTGTGATGGTCACACTAGGCATGGCAAGGCAAGCATCATTCTTGAAGCAGCAAGTCCTATGAAGCCCATTGTCAATGATATTTGATTATTGGGCTTTGGACTTTCTTTTTAAGAAACCCGTGAATAGCAGGCATTTAATGAGAGAAGGAAATATCTACTGTACAAAAAGGAAAATCTGCTGTACAAAAAGCCAAGAAAACCAAACTTCTGATTAATCTTGCTTACTACTGTCCTCTTGCCCCCGTTCTCTGATCATTCTGAAGAAAGCAGTTTGTTATTTTACATCTTGCTTAACTAGGTCTAAGGTTAAGACTCACCTCTCATATTCAGTTTAGAATTGGAGTCTGTGGTGTAAATTTTATTGTTTTCATCTTTCCCAAGTTGTGCTGAGTTTTGCCTTGTGCTTCCCCTCGCTGTCACCCCAAGTCCTGCACTCAAAGCACATCAGTGTCTGCTAACAGGTAATGTTTTACTCAAATTGTCTGTAAAGGTCCTGCTTCCCATCCAACATCTACTTCATTCCCCTCTTGAAGTAAAATACTCTTGCTTCATATTTTAATTCCCCTTGCTAGGGTTAAAGGAAAGAAGTAGATCTACTTTATTCACTGACAAGAACCAGTTTCTGATCATCTGCAAGTCATTAATGTTTTATTTGCTAGGCTGAAACTCATGCCCATACTTACGTGATCAACAAGCTGATGACCAGAAGGTAAAGCAGGTGTTTTTTGCTGTCATTGACTGCTGCTGTTTTGCATTTCTAGTGAGGAGGAGAGGGTGATGTGGCTTCCTTTGAAGGAGAGCAGAGATGCTAGTGGTGGATTTGTTCCTCTCTGCACATGCCAGCCAGGAGGATTGGTTACCTGTCTCTTCCCTCAGCTAAGGGAGCAGTTGAAAAGGTAAGGGTAGCTTGTTGAGATGCATTCACCTCTGTAAGAGCAATGTCTTGGCAGCAATCGCCTGAGGCAGATTGGGTGAGGAGCATCTTGGCTGGGGCTGTTCCATGGAGGGGTTTCCCATACAGCAAGTGCTGGTATGGCTGGGAATCCACGTGAACCCATGTGCATTGAGCTGTTTCCTTTAGCTTTCTGGATCTAAGTTTGATACTGAGAATACTCATACTGGAGGAGGAGTGTGAGTTCAAACCTGCCTCTACTTCCTGCAGCAAAAACAGCATGTGGCCATGGGTGTCACCAGAGATGAGAAGCAGCTGTTTGATTCCTGTGCTGTTCAGTGTGATGTTAGTAAGGGACCCTGCAGTTCATGCAGGGCTCTGTTCTCCCTAGAGCCTGGCTTTGGGAAAAAAAGACCTTGGATGGCTACAGAGCAGTTCTAGTATGGGCTTCAACAGTGTGTCTCTTAAATGACTGTCCAAGTGCTGGAGGAATGCTGGTTTCCCTGTTTCCCAAGCTCTTACATGCTGTCTCTATACTCTTATATAGCTTTTAACCTTCCCTTTTTACCTGCAGTGAAACTAGTTGAGGGTCATGGTCAATCTATTAGGAATACTTTCGTAGCTATGGAAAGAGCGCTCTATAATCATTAGGAGTATTTACTTGTTTCACTACAGAACTAATTTGTTGGAAGGCAGCACTAAACTCCTGTAAAAGAAGAGCAAACTAAATGGTGTGTGACAGCCAGCTTGTTAATTGTGTACAATGTAGTTATTTTACTGGGTGATGCAAATACCTACACGTGCACATGTGACCAAGTGTCATGGGATGTATGGAAGGACTGATTAAAACCATGCCTTTTCCACATCTGGGTTATATTACCCCAGAGAGAGAAAAATATGCAGCTTAAAATCTCTGCGGATAATTACCCTGGCATGTTGCTTATCAGAAGGCAGTTCAGCAGATGAGAAGGCAGGAGGAATAAACACCAAAGTTGCTTATTCACAGGCAATGTCTCTAGTTTCTCCAGGGGTTGGACTCCTGGTTTTAATAAGTGCTCTGAACATGTCAGCAATACGAAGAAAATAAGAGCTTGATTTCAGCCTGGGTGTTGTTATTTTGGTGTACAATTCCTTCCATTAAAGCCAGTATTAAGCAGAGTCTATAGGATGAGAACAACTTTCACATTAATGCTAGTGAGAAGAGCACAGTTAAGTTGAGCAGGGTTGCAGGGGGAACCAGTAGCAGTAGGCAGCTACGGGGCCTCCTGCTTTCAGAAAGACTTTGTTCAAGAAAAATGCAAGATCAAGATCCTCAGGGAAGGGACCGGGAGCGGGGGCAAGGGAAGGATGTAAGCAGTTTTAAAGGGAGGATATCAAACAGATCATGTAATAGGACTCCACTGGAATTGGGGGTTTAAAAGATTCTAGTGTACCGAGCCTGAGAAAAGTGTTAGTCAAACATAACATCGATGATGGGATGAAAGATATCTGCTCTGAGTTACACCCTGGGCGAACCCAGTGCCTGCTGGAAAAAGGCAAAAGGACCCCCTGCGAGGGTCCCTACCTCTGCGGGGCTGCCAGTGCCATTGTCTGGTTCCCCTGCCCATTGCTGCTGTGCTGGAAGATGCCAAAATCCATTCCTTAAAGGGTTTGTGTAGTATAAATTAGACAGGTAAGTCAACAGCATAGTAAGAATGAATGAGCAAATTAACATTATGCACTGGGGAAATAATACAGCTGGTGACACTTAAATCCAGCTGTATAGGAGAGATTTACTGGCTATTACTGTTTCCCTTCCCTCACATGAAAAAGATCCCATACCAGCTGGTTATGTCTGCTCATGGTGCAGTCCCGATAGTCTGTGGAGCGCAGAGCTGGGACCGCTGAGTGCTGCTGTGTAACTTAAAGAAGTCCTTTGCTTCATCCGTATGACAGTACAACAGCTCCCTGTCCTACAGGAGAGAGCTTTGTGATCCATGGAGGGGGATTTTCATTCCCACCATAATATGGTTCAGGTTACTTACTTGCTTTGGACAGTGGTGCTGCAGCATGGGTAGATGCAGGCTCTGGTGACAATTGCTGTCCTGCTGCATGAGCTGTGCCTAGCTTTTTCTTCACACTTCTGTGCTTTGCAAGCATTCAGCAGTAAAATGAATGAACAGAGGAAGCAGAACAAAGTGAAACCATCCCTGTTGCCCTTTCCTGAGGATATAGAATAGAGCTTTATGCATAAGATGCATTCCTGAATGGTTGCTGCACCAGAGTATTAACAAGGATAACACCAAACAGTAACACATCCAGAAAGCTGTAACTGCATCATCTGCAGCAGTGCTGACGAGGCACTGCCCATACCAAGACTGGCAGCAAAACTGCTTGGGCTTGACTCTCCTTATCAAAAAGTTCTCGTTCTCTGTATTTCAGGGGGAAAAAAGTAGCTTTGTTCTCTGTAGGGTTCTTGGGCAAGATGCAGTTGACCACTCCTCTGACCTGTCACCCTGGGGATGGCAACCCCCCTCCCCTGAGCACTGGATTAATTAATGCCTAGTTCTTTCCATGCTTCCCAACCATCAGCCCGTGCTCCAAACCTGGAGCTGCCTTGCAGGAGTCTTCCTGGATGTGCAGTACACCTTGATTTTTCAGCTCGTGCTGGAGGAATGTGTATAGATGCAGAATTAGCTGCACCACATTAGGAGCAGTAGCTGTTTTGATGGGCAGCTTCTCTATGGTTATAAAATAGGGCTGGTGAGGATGTAGGAAATTCTGAGGCTGAATGACTCCCTCAGCGATTCCCTATGAACGAGCCTGGGTTATGCAGTAAAACCCAGGAGAATGACTCCGTATCAGCACCAACTAAGCCCACTATTGCGATCCGAGGTTGGTCATGGAAAACTGAGTAACTACTTCACAGAGCAGCTCTTGATGCCTACACAAGGCCCAAATAAGCCTTGTCATGCAAGAGAGATTATTAGCTTAGAGTAATCCCACCCTGGCAGACATGGTGCTTTGGGCCAGCCAGCTGCCAGCTCACCCACTGCAGGGCTTGAAAGCTTTAATGAGTGATAATGAAGGGAGATGGGGAGGAGTGATGGAAAAGGGCTGTCGGGATGAAGGCAGCAGAAAGAACCTGTGGCTCTGCTCTTGTGCATCTTTCCCAAGCAATGTGAAAAGCAAGTGACGCACCACATTCTCCACTCCTGGGCGGAAGATGCCATATGCTTGCAAGCATAAAGGAGTAACCCTCCACATCCTATGTGT